GAGGAGGAGGAGGAGGAGGAGGAGGAGGAGGAGGAGGAGGAGGAGGATGAAGGAGGGAGGTAAAGAGGTGAACTAGAGCCCCCGCTGCGCAGCTCCCTTAAGCACACAGAGAGCTGAGTCTGCAGCAGGAGCAGCAGCAGCAGCGCTAGGAGCACCGTCCACAGCATGGTGCCACGTGCACACACGTGCACACACACGGAGTCCCCACACAGTGCTTGTTTTCAGTCAGCAGGGGGCCTCAGGAGGATGCTCTTCAATCTGTCAACCTGAGAGAGGAGAAAAATCAAGTTATTTTGCTGCCTCATGCTTTTCTCATCAATCTGCAGAAAAGAGATAAATCTGAGAAGAATCTGCTCATAAACAAAATGAGATCATTTTAAATCTCCCTGATGCTCGTTAGCTGTGGCAGCCATATTGAATTAGATCATCTCCAGAGGTTAAAGAGTTACATATGAATTCATTTCAATAAATTTCATCCACAGGTTCATGATCATTTCTGCTATTAGTTTGATCTTTTACTACTTTAGCATTTACGTAGCTTTTTGCTACTTTTAGCTTCTACCTAATCTTTGGCTGCTTTTAGATAGTGTTATTTTACTTTTAGATTTTAGATAACTATTTGCTATTTTTACATATTAATTTATGTTGTGCTCATTTTAGCTAGCAGTTCTGTTTTACTTTTAACTTCAACCTTTTGCTGCTTTTACCTTTTAACCTGTTTTACAAGTTACGGATTTCAGCTTTCTTCAGTTTTTCCTCGTCTCTAATAGCGTTAAGCTTTGCTCATTTCTCTTTTTTTAAATTCAATTCAGTTTAGTTTATTTATACAGCGCCAAGTTACAACAGCAGTCGGCACTGAACAGAAACAGTCACATACAGTACATGAAAAGTAAGTTAATAACGTTATTTATCTGAAATTAATATGTAATTAGAAATTACATCAATATAGAAGCAAAAAGTTTAAAGTTCTCGTAAAAACTGTGCATGAGAAATTAATACACCTTTAATGTTGAAGGACTTGCTGCTTCATAAGTTGAATATCAGATGATCAAAGATGGTTTAATAAAGAATAAAAATACAAATAAAATTAGACTGCTTGGTGTTTCTTTTAGAATTTATTAAAAAACTAATAAAAGCTGTGAAAAGTTAACTTATTCAAAATTAAACTAAACTTTTTCTTCTTATCTATGCACATGAAAACACACACAAACAACTATGTGTCTTTATGAAATATATGTACCCCCCACCCCCCGTGTCTGCGTCGCGGCCCACGCAAGGTCGTCCTGAAATCAGATCTGCATCCCACACGTGCATGTTCCTCCTCAACATGGACACGAGGTCACGCACACAAACACACAAAGATTAGGAGTGAGCAACCACGAGCTGTTCCAGCTGCAGAACCTACAACGACTTCAGGTTCTGCACCTGTGGAAACATCATTCGTCTGAAGCAGTGACACAAATTTATCTGTAATTTCTGATTTCTAATCTTTTATCAGTGAAAGTGTGAGAACCAAAAATCATCTCATCATTTCAGTCCAGATGTTGACTGAGAATTATGAAAGTGTCAAACATGATCTAAATATCTATTTTATTCTTCAGCTCTTAACTTATTGTTCAAATCTTCGAGATACTTTCTTTTCTCACTGGTTTTCCAGTTAATTTATTGCATCTTGATCTGTGGGGACATTTTTCAAAGGAATTTATGACTTCTCTGTTTCCATAAAGCTCTTAAAATGATAATTGTGGGTGAAGAGCATGTAAACAAAAACAGATGGGTCTCGCTGCACAACTGTGCGGTTCTGACCTGTTTGTACAAACAGTTGTACCGACACTTGACTGAATACAATAAAGAATGCTCTAATAGCAGCTTAACATATAGCTAGCTATTTGTTTCAACTTCTAGCTGGTGTTTTGCTCCTTTTAACTTTGTGCTAGTTATTTATTTCATTTAGCTTTTAGCTGGTGTTTTTCTTTGTTTAGCTTTAAGCTTGCTCTTTGCTTCTTTTAGCTTTAACTGGTGTTTTGCTCCTTTTAACTTTAAGCTTGTTCTTTGCTTCTTTTAGCTTTTATTTGGTGTTTTGCTTCTTATAACTTTAAACTTGTTTTTTGCTTCATTTAGCTTTTAGCTGGTGTTTTGCTCCTTTTAACTTTAAGCTTGTTCTTTGCTTCTTTTAGCTTTAGTTGGTGTTTTGCTCCTTATAACTTTAAGCTTGTTTTTTGGTTCATTTAGCTTTTAGCTGGTGTTTTACTCCTTTTAACTTTAAGCTTGTTTTTTGCTTCATTTAGCTTTTAGCTGGTGTTTTACTCCTTTTAACTTTAAGCTTGTTCTTTGCTTCATTTAGCTTTAGTTGGTGTTTTGCTCCTTTTAGCTTTAAGCTAGTTATTTATTTCATTTAGCTTTTAGCTGGTGTTTTGCTCCTTATAACTTTAAGCTTGTGATTTGCTTAATTTAGCTTTTAGCTTGTGTTTTGCTTTGTTTAGCTTTAAGCTTGCTCTTTGCTTCTTTTAGCTTTAGTTGGTGTTTTGCTCCTTATAACTTTAAGCTTGTTTTTTGGTTCATTTAGCTTTTAGCTGGTGTTTTACTCCTTTTAACTTTAAGCTTGTTATTTGCTTCATTTAGCTTTTAGCTGGTGTTTTGCTCTTTTTAACTTTGTGCTAGTTATTTGCTTCATTTAGCTTTTAGCTGGTGTTTTGCTTCATTTATCTCTAACAACTCCAGGATATTTCAGCAGTCATTCACATCCCTGTATTTTTACAGAAAATAAATTTCTCCAGTATTTTCATTTACTGCAGCAGCCTTGGAGCACATGAGATAAATGTAATCATTTAAAAGTGTTCTCTGTGTTAGTTCATCCTGTCAGATGCTGTAATTTTAATTCCTCTCAGTGGGATTATTCGGCTTCGTGTCGTCTGAGCAGGAGGAAGATGCCGTGTCTGCAGCATTAGGATTAAGTGTTCAGTCATTTCTTTGCATCTTTGTCCACACGATGTGCTGCTTCACCTGTTTCATGTTCCGACTCTCTGCGATGGTTCTGTTGAACCTTAATGTGCTTTTTGACAAACTCTAGGTCCGAGCGCTGTGGGTGTTTCAGCACCAGTGATGCGACTCCAGACAGAAAGAGTGACATTTGAAGCCATGTGGCCTGCAGCAGACAGAGAGGAGAGGTGTTCTGAAAATAAATGTTCCTGTGAGGTTCTGGGTCTCCTCCAGAACCAAAACCATCCTTCAGAGTTCAGTTTGAAGCTCTCATGACAATCTGCAGCACTTTGTTGGTGTTAACTGCTGTGTTGCTGTTTGAGTTTAATCTAAAATGTATTTTAAATGTAAAATTATATATATATATATATATAT